TCAAATTCTTTGGTTGCAAATTCTGTTGATAACAAGGTATATTATCACTTTGCTTATAATATTTATAACTTATAAACTAATTATTTATATATATTTATATTTTTTTTTTAGAATAATGTACGTTTATGGGATAAAGAAATTAAATGTCTTTTCCTTCGGATAAGAAACCCTATATCATTATGCATTGATGAATTTATTAAAAAGATTTTTAGATATACTCCATATTCTAATGAAGGAAGAGATGTTCAAACCAGAACAAAGAAAGCTCTAGGCGATTTTCGTCATAAATTAAATCAATCAGTAATAGAGCTTATTAAAGATTTTAAAAATAAGCGAGAAAGGTATAAAAAAATTATTTAATAATAACTTCAAATATATTAATAACTTATCATTAAAATATAACAAATTTATACGTATTAACTTATTAATTTATAGAGAAGGTGTGACAACATCTTTATTAACTAATGAAGATATAAAAAATTTTATTGATAAAAATGTAGTCAATAATCTCCTAAAATGTTATATTTCAGGAACTAATCAATCTGAACTTCGAAAGTGTGGATCACTAGCTAAGCTAGTAACTTTTATTCATGAAATATTTCGTATTTATTGAAGAGGAAAAAATATTATCCAAGTTAAAAATTTGGATAATATTACAAAAAATATGCATATACCTTCAAGAAGTGGCTTAAATATTGCTAGCAAACTTAATATTAATTAAATGATTAATTTAAAGTTTATTAGTGAATTTTAAATTTGCAATAAAGAATAGAATTATTAAATTACTATAAAAATTTCAAGAAATTGTAACAAAATCTTTGAATATAAAAGCTATAATAATTTGGTTATGATTTTATCATATTTCTTTATTTTACTAAATTTTTATAGTAATTAAAATTTAAAAAAGTCTTTACCAAATCTTAACGTTAAACATAAATTATCATATAAAAAATTTATTATAAAATAAAGAACTCATAACAAAATAGTAAAGATTTTGTCATGGTTTTGTTAAAATTTCGCTACAATTTATTTTATAATAAGATTTTTTGTCTGTTAGTAATTAAAGTTGGTTTTAAAATTATTATTATAAAGTATAGCATATAGTTGTAGATATTAGTAGTTTTTTATTTTATAATATAGATTTAGTCAAGATTTAGTCAAGTTTTCTTTTTACTTTAACTGCAATTTTTTTTTGTACATCAAAATTTAAGAATTTTATTCAAAGAAATTTTTTTATTTTAATTTTACTTATTCGTAGAATTAAAATAAATATAAAATTACTAATAACTTTAAATTTTTTTTTCAAATTTTTAAACAAAGATATTTTAACAATCACCTGATAAAATTCACTAAAATTTTTTTTATTTAATTCTATATATCGTAGAAGGAAAATAAAAAAATTTCATCGAATTTTGTTAGTATGTTGTTGAGATATCTAAATTTAAAAATTTGAAAAATTTAAAGTTTCTTCTAATTTAATGGATGATTTGAATATTGACCAAACTTTGAATATATCTCAATAACTACTTGATAAAATTTACTGAAATTTTATTTATTTTAATTCTAAAAATATATAGAATTAAAATAAAAAAATTTCTTCAAATTTTGTCAGGTGGTTATCAAGATATTTTCATTTACTAATTTTTCTATTCAACTAGTAAAAAGTTGGCATTATACCGCTGCTTAATTTTATTTAATGACTTTTATTTTAAATAAATCTTGACTAAATCTTGACTAAGATTTATTATAAAGTAAAACTCATGGAAAAAAAATCCGATTTGGTTAAGATTTCATAACAATTTTTTTATTTTATAATAAAATTTAGTCAATATTTTTTTAAAATTATTAATAAATAAAAATTTTTTATTACGCAAAAGTAACAAATAGATATATATTAATAATTACAATAGTATAGATAAGTTTTAAATATTATTAATTAAAAGTATTAAAAAAAAAGCAAATTATTTATTTTAATTGACTATTTACTTATTAAGAATACATTATTTTTGTTTTTTTTGCGAAAAAAAATAAAATTTAAATTTTTTAAAAAAAGGAAAAAAAAAACAAAATAGCAAAAAAAAAATTATTATATTATTTCAGCACCCCTTTGAGCAGTAAAGTTGTACCGACTTAAATCAATTGACGTTGCAACATTCCAACCACTAA